GGATAAATGGATAAATTGACGTTAATTTGTAATACAGACTCGTATAATGACTTTAGTGTTACTTTAGATGAAAGTATCAACTTGGATGAAAATTTCGACTATAGTGTTCACGTATCATCATGTTCATATGGATCAAAATATAAACAAATGCAATCAATTGCATTCACTTTCGATGGTGATGATAAACTTACTTCAATACGATTTTTAGATGATCATGATCCAAAAAAGTTGGTGGATAATCTCAACAATGCAATCTACATCATGCTCGCTAAGCATAGAAAAACTCATGTATTACCCATTTTTGGATATGACAATGGTTATCTTCAATGTGGTGTGATCAATCATACCAATGATATTACTGGAAAGTTTGTTGGAAGAGATTCACCTTTTCTACTTCTGCGAATTCTTTTCTAAGTGCTATTGGTTTCAATCTCTATGGATTAAATGAGTTCATCGCTAATGCAACATTTGAAGATAAATATTATACATTTGCACCGTATGAACTTGACCCCTCAGCTTTAATTCTTTATGCAGACATCGCCGCTAAACCTCTCTGTGTACTACCTAGTTCAAAAGATTATATACAATTTGATGGATCGTATAGTGTACCAGTAACTAAAAAATCATTCGGTACCATTATTTTCAAAGCGATAGGTTCTACATTTACAAGATTGAAAGATTTTCGACGAATGGATCTTGCGGTAACATTGATAATTACTAAACAATATAAACCCAAACAGACTCTTCAAAATACAGAGCTAAAGGTTGATTCAAAGTTGTTAGATGTTCTTCATATGATTGCAGAAAATGTAGGACAACCTAAACCAAAAGCTGATTATCAATTACTTCAGAATCTTCAAACAATTGCTGCAAATATATTGGAAATCAAACCAAAGACCAATTTTGAATTATTGGATATTCTAGGTAACATTAGTAAAACTCTATCACAAAATTCATCAAAGTCTGATGTATTGGATGTTCTCAAAGCCATAAACCAAACAATCTTGGAAGCAAGACCTTTAGTATCAGTACTATCATCGAAAACAGCTCCAGATCAGACGGCTGTTGTCCCAACCTTTAGAAAGAAACAAGAACCCCCCCGAGAACCAAAACCTAGTATCATATCATCATATAATCCAGCCGACGATGACTGAATTTACGATCGACTTGATTTCAAATGCATCAGTTCACATTCATCCGGAAAATAATCTAACTTCATTCACAAATGAATTATTGGTCCCTATTGAATTTGATCGAGAATATGAATGTGGTATAATAGAACTTTTTCATCCTGCGTTACTTTTTAGTAACCAAGAAAAGAAAACTTCATTTCAAGTACAAATAAATGCGGCTGCTATATTTGGAGACTTTGAATTGATTTATAAACATGAAGACACAATATCTGATATTTGTGACCAAATAAACAAAATAATCAAATCTAATCCGGAAATATCAACTATCGCACAAATGTTTGAAAAGACTACACTAGTACAATTACCTACAATTGGCTTAATTGATCATGAAAACAGTAAAAAAGTTAACATTACTCCAGGATTTATCAATTATGAGAGTGTCACTGGAACAAGAATGAGTGCATCAATGAATATTGTTTTCAAGGATCCCAATTTTCTTCGTTTACTTGGATTCGAACCCGCCGACTATTTTTTACAACCTATTGATAAGAGTACAATTATTGTAGCAAAATCTTTTTACGACAAAAGACATATAAATAACTTGATGTTTATTTATTGTGACATTGTAGCTGAGCATCATGTTGGTGATGCAATGGCCAATTCACTACGAGTCGTCGCTCTTTGGAAAGAAAAAGAACCAAGAGTTTTTGGACATACATTTATTAAACCAATTTACTTTCCAGTTCGACACCAAAGAATCTCCAATATATCTGTAATGTTACGAGACGAGACCGGAAGCCCAATAGCTTTCGATTATGGTACAGTTTATCTTTCATTACATTTTAGACCTCGAAAAAACTCTATATAAAGCCTGAGTTAATTTTAATAAAGTATAATCATGTCTTCAAAACGAAAATATTGTCCTAGTGATTGTAATTTACGTGCTTATTATATTAATCAAGCTGGTGGTGGGTAAGTGATATAAAAATCTATCGTGGTTACCCTTATCAAGCTGGTGGACTTGGTTTTGGTACAATATTAGGTAGATTTGGGATTCCTTTACTCAAGTTTTTAGGTAAACATTTGTTATCAACTGGGATGGCAGTAGGTGCCGATGTCTTAGCCAATCAAAATTTTAAAAGTTCTGTTAAAAATAGATTTAAAGAAGGATCAAAAACTGCCGCTAAAGAAGGTCTCGCGAAATTATCTAACGTTGTAGATCAAATTGGAACAGGAAGGCTATATAAAGCAAGAAAACGAAAGCGAAAAAACAAGTCAAAACCCCGAAAGAAAGTTAGAAAACTAATTAGAAGAAAAGTTAAACGAAAGACAAGAACTGTAAGAGATATTTTTAGATGATGGATTACTTACATCATAAATCTATTCCTGCTACTTTATCAAATTTGGAAGTTTTTTCTGTACCTCCTACGCAACTTGCTATTGAGTCTGTTTATGATGTGACTTTTCGACCGACTTCAACCTTAGATAACGCTACATCATATGATATTAACATCCCTCCAACAGAAGACTTTACCGATTTATCTGAAACAATTATTCATGTCAAATTGGATATACAAAGTTCAGAAAATAAAAATCCATCTACCACTGATGAAATCAACGTAATTAATGGATTTGGTACTTGTTTATTTGATCAAGTTGATTTATACGTTGGTTCAGTTAATACTACTCAAGCTAATGGTAGATATCATTACATTGCTCACATTGAAGATTTAATTTTCAAACACATTGGTAAAGCTGATGCCGCTGGGACTCTATGGGATGAAGATACAAATCGAAAATCTAGAATTACAAAACCATTTGAACTTTATTTCAAATTACATTCACCTTTAGCTTCTCAAAATAATTTATTATTGAATAACCTACCACTTCAACTCAAATTTTCAAGAAACAAAAATACATTTGGTTTGATTGGTAATCAATCTAAAAAGTTTACAATCAAAATTAATGATCTAAGTGTTCATATACGAAGAGTTAAACTATTTCCTGACGCTGACATTGGAATCCAAGAAGGTTTGCAGAAAGCTCCTACTAATTATTTCACTACAAGGAATTTAGTAAAAACATTTACTATTCCAGCTTCAAATACAACAGCAATATTTGAAAATGTTTTCTCAGGTGTAATGCCTAGAAGAGTTATTGTTGGTTTTGTAAGTAATGATTCATTCAATGGAAAAGAAACTGAATTTAAATTTCAAAACTTTGAACTCAACTCAATTGGATCACAAGTTAATGGTGTAAACATCCCTTCTCAACCTTATGAACCCGATTTCAAAAAAGATATGTATTTGAGAGAGTTTATTGATTTGTATCGTAACACTAATCAATTCCATGGATTATCAATGTTGAAACTAAAGTACGATCAATATAAAGATGGGAATACTCTCTTCGCTTTTGATTATACTCAGGATGGTACCATTGGTTCAGAATCTGGAACATTAAGTTTATTGAAAAGAGGAACTTTAAAAATTGAAGCTAGATTTGGAGAAGCTTTGAAATCACCGATACACATGATTGTATTTGCTCAGTTTGATAACCTAATTCAGATTGATAAATATCGTAATGTAACAATCGATTGGTAATCATGTTGACAACTTTAGATCTGATTCATTCAATGAAAAAGGATAAAGATTTTTATGGTGTATTCCCACAAAATCGTTTACCTTATGTCTTGTTACCTAAACCATTCAAAATTATTGTCAATTTAGATGAATCATGGAAAGATGGAAGTCATTGGGTTTCTATTTATTCTCAGAAAAATGGATTGACAGTCTATTTTGACTCATTTGGAAGACCACCAACACCAGATATTGAAACTTTTATCGAAAGAAATAGCCCTAATGGATGGTATTACACGAAAAATAAATTACAAGGTGATTTAAGTACGTTATGTGGATTTTATTGTATAATGTTTCTTAAATATTGTCCAAAAGTTACATTGTTTTTTGATAAATTTCAAAATTGTTCAGTTACAAATGATTACAAATTGATTAAATACGTTTAATAATTTGAATACCTTCCATTTCTGTTTGACAAACAATTTCTTGGGGACCGTGTTTTTTGTGGATAAAATTTTCTAGGATAGAAATGTAATTGTATAACCCTTGATTAATTGAAATGACGTCTGCTGCTCTGGCTATATTATGGTTCATCTCTCTTATTGTTGCATCTCTAGTAAAGACTTTAACTCGTAATTCTTTATTTTCTGCTTTTATCTCATCATTCTTTGCAAGTAACAATTGACAGAGTCTCTCAAGTTTCGCATTTCGTTCAATAAGTAAAGCGTTTTTTTCAACAACTTCACGGTGAACCACTTCGAGAGCTAATGCTAATCGTGAACATTGACATTCATCAGGACATTTAAGACAAGTAGTTGAATAAACTGTATCATTTTCAAGAGACATTCTGTTTAAAAAAGATGTATATCAATTAGTATTAATCGAGTTTTCTTTTCTTGGTAAGACGTTCCATATCGACATGAAAAGGAGCTGTATTAGTTTGAATGAAATCTTCCAACAATGAAATATATTTGTAGAGATTCTCAATAGTTTGGTAAGATGGAGCAAACTTTTCTCTATGGTCTTTGTATTCTTTGATAATTACTGCTTGTAGAGCCAATCTCAATCTTAGTTCAGCATTGGTTTTTCTCTCTGTAGCAAGTAATTTTCTTTCAGTTACCAGTAGATTTCTCGCTGTACGATGTGCATGTAAAACTCCATCATTAATTTTTTCTAGCATATCATTTCTCCATTTAGTCTCTCTGTTTACGACTTCTAAAGCTAAGGCTAAACGTGAACAGTTACATCCTGCCTTGTGGTCAAATTTTTTTGAACTTTCGAGAGACATACCTTAATCAGATGTTGGTTCAGGTGATGGATTAGATGAATTGGTGATTGATGAATTCGGCTCAGACCAACTGGAAATTGTCGATGGAACAGGAGAGGTTTCACGAGAAGGGTGGTAAGACCAAAGTAATAATGACGTTGATGATCTTCCAGATGCAGTAGATTCCGATAATGCTTCTCTGTAACCTTGAAAATCAGCTTCAGTCCAACGTATAGGAATAAATTCACTTTCAGAGTTTAATAATGAATATGTTGACTCTACAGTTGTAGTACTACAAGTTGAAAAGTTTGATGATATTGATGAAATTGATGAACAAGGTGATAACTGTTCAAGTTCACTTGATGATGATGATTCAGACGAATAACTACCTGGAGGTAGAAGGTCTCTTGGATCAGGGTTATCGATTGTTATAAGGTTGAATTCTCGAAAAACACCAGAAGGAACAATATAACGAATATTAATTGGTGATGAGACAGGAGTAGAATAAATTATAAAGTTATTAGTGTTGTGGTTGTAATTAAAAAGAGCCAGCTTAAAAAGATAGTTCAGAAATTTGATTAAAGAAAGATGATTCAATTTCACTTTCACTATTGTTCCAATATCTTGATGGTTTCACTGAAGTTTTAGATAAAGACTTAACACTCCAATGTGATCTTTTCTTCTTCAGTGGTTTGAATGATTTAACAGGAACAGTATAATTATCTTCACTTAGTTTAAATTCAGGAAAGATTTGAATAAAATCTTCAAGTGAGAGAACAATGTTTATAAAAGAACTTTGTTGATTAATCGAAGCCAGGGTTCTTCAACACATTTGAAATAAAAGAAAACAAAAATCAATGAATAAATCACAAGCAGATAAAAGAAAAAGATTATTAGAGAAAAAAGATTAAACACAAAAAAAGATCATTAGTTCACAATCCCAAATGGTATCAAAACAATTCAAAAGAAAATAAGGGAAAAGATAATTATCACCAGATCACTGAGTTAAATAAAAATCTCTTACCTCAAGTGTTGTTGTACCAAATGTACCAATGTGAACCAAAAGTCCGATGTAATTTAATCCAAAATGGAAACAATAATCCAAAGTGGTAAACACAATTAATCCAATTGGTATAAACACAATAAATCCAAATGGTAAAAGATGAACTAAAGATGTTTACAATAAAACACTAATCAAGTAAACTATCGATGATGTTTAAATAACTTTGATACTAATTGAAGTTTACTCACTGAGGGTATAAACTAAACTGATGAAATAAAATATAAATGTAGAATATATATTATTACTAAAAAGAAATAATAGAGAGAAGAAAGTTTTGTTCTATTCTGAACTAAAGAGAGAAGTTAACTGATAAAAATTTTAAACGAAATAAACTTTGCAAAGTTGATTTTTACTTTAGCTCCCTCGCCTATGTCCGATAGACGTTTGCTCCCTAACGCGCAGTGACGCCTTGAAGAGGATTGCCCTATAGCGCGTCAGTAAAATTTAACTCTCCACCTATTTTATCTTCCTAACTTTGAGTGTACTCACTCAAGTCAAAATTGCAAGTTAGTTTATGTTGTTAATCTTTAACATTATTATACTTTAAACTTTCTAGGAATAAACTTTTAGTTTTTTTAGATTTAGCCATGATTAAGTATATATATTATTTAGTAGTTTTTATAGTTAGTTATATTTTAAACTCTCAATTAAATAAATGTTTCAAACAGTGTTCAACTATTAACTCAGTCAACAATTACAACTTGTATGAAATTAACTATTCATCTTTAAATCAGTTTCCATCATTCAACTTATCGGATTATTGTGATGTGAACCATTCGGATTATTGTGACTTTAGTGAATTCAACAGATGTATCAACACTTGTTCACATGATCTGGATTATTTATTGGTGTTGATATTACTGGTGATTCCAATCATCTTTATCATTACAATTGAAAGTTATTAAAGTAAGTAAACTTTATTATTGATTAAGTGTAGAATAATGTCCAAAGGCATGTGTGTATACATTGTCTATAGCCCATCTTTTATCATCAAGTGGACTCAGTGAAATCTTTTTAACTTGTATTGCTCTAATCTTATGTTCTTTACTTTCTAATCTGTGATTAACATTATAAAATATCTCTTCGTTGTACAAACAATTAAAATACTGGTCTCTAGTCAATTGTTTTTCGACTATACACCTTTGTGTTCCTTTGGATCTTTTCTTTTCTCCATCATCTGATACGATCACATACATTTTGGATTTTAATGCAATGACTTCATGTATTTGTGATCCATTCATTTCATCCTTTAAGTATCCAAGTTTCTTTTTATTTTGTGTATTGTAAAGCCAATGGTCTTCTGGATAATCACAAAAGTCCATAATGTCCCCAAACTTTTCCAAATCTACATGTAAATCTTCTGTTTTCATGTGATAAATGAATTTATCCGTGTCAGTATACAACAGTTTGATATTGTTTCCATAATATGACTTGAATGTATCATAATGTAATTGATACATGTGCAATTTTGCAAATTCCAAGACACTAAATCCAACAGCTATTGGTTTGTCTAGAACAACTTTTGGTCTTCGAAGCTTTGCTATAACAAAGTTTTCATTTATAATTGAAAACTGATCAAACAAAGGTTTGTTTACAACTTTTTTTATCTGTTTTTGGTTCGTTAAAAATATCACCTTTGAATGTTTTCTCTTGTTTTCAATACTTTTCCCATAAAGTGAATTAACCATTAGTTTCCAAAAGTCTTTTTCGAAGTTTGTCTTGGATTGTTGTCGTTTACTTGTACACAAATCGATGTATGGCTGTAACCATGCAACTTCTTCAAAACTAATTATCCTGTGAATCTTTTCCAATTTCAATCCTTTGTCCATGTAATACTTTAAATTACGATAATGAATAACATATTTTTCCTTTTTTAATAAATTTGGTGTCAACTTTTTACCAGCAACTCTCTTTTTACCCATCGATTCAAGTTTTTCAATTAATGATGTTTGGTAAGGACTCAAATGTTCTTTTTCGATGGTCATCTGCTCAACTGCCAATGGATAATCATCATGCCAATCATGTAAATCTTTTGGATAATCCAAATCAACCTCTAATATATATCCTTTTTCTGTAACACCTTTTTCGATTTTTTCCAATATTGATTGAAAGTCTTCTTTTTCTTCCATTTTAAATTTACCATGTGGAAGTTTTTGTCTAAGGGCATACCCATAAAGATTATTAACATCTAAATAAGTAATAAAACTTTTTGGTTCATTTGAATTATAATCAGGACAACTTGAATTATTTGCTTTAGCATGTCGAGTCATTGCTGATGATACACCACCACGAATACCGTTTTCAAGCATCATCAACATATCAATATCGGTTATATGATCCAATTTGACTTTAGTCATCTTAAGTGCTGCCAACCAGGTTAATCCAGGTGTTGAGAAAAAGTTTGCTGGGTCTAATCCAAATTCACATAAACTCATTTTTCTAAAGTTTTCAAATATAGCAGCTAATAAACAAACATCCACTTTCAAATATATATCGTGAAATTCACCAAGTGTTGAACAATTAAAATCTTGAAAGATCTGATTCATTCTGTCATATGCTTCAACACTAATCCCACTGTTTGTCAATGATGAGAAGAATGCATCTATTGGTGGTAAAGATGGTTCATCGAAACGAGATATACAATCCAAATATTCATAAGGTAAGCACGCTTTACCCAATAACATTTCAATATCTCCATCCGTAAATATTTGTTCAAGTATTTTAACTTTATCTCCTCTATCCAGGTTCCTGGCTAAATTATCAAGACTTGATGGTAAAAAAGCGAGTGAATCAATAAATACAAATGAGTCCATTTGGATTGATAAGTATTTGTCAATTGTTTGAGGTATACAATCAATCTTTGTGAATAAATCATTATCAACTGCTTGAATTAATAAATGACCATCGAAATTTTTCAAATTGTGAAATACAACTGGTATTTTATAATCCCATTTCCATTGTAAATTACATGCATTATGTGCTGGTCCTCGAAATTCACCAGTCATGTGATCATGGTCTCTCACTTTATCACTATCATGATCAAAACCACTACCACAAATGTGACATTTATCCTCAATGTAAAATCTTGCTTCTTCTTCTAGAGTCAAGTATAATGGTTTCTGAAGATTATCATACAAAAGATATAATTCCATTTGAACAGCTATAAGAGTTTTCATGAACATTGAATCAGCGTCCAATCCACGATAGAAATCTTTTAGAATAACATCACCTTTGTAATCAATTACCACAAAACCATAAGAACATGGTTTATGTTCTTGATAAGCAAACGAGTTTTTGTTTTCATGAGGTAACTTTGTTGCTAATGTTTCGAAATCAGCATAAATGATGAAAGGATATTTGAACATTTTTTTGTATTCCTTGAACTCTATTATCTCCCCTTTCTTTGGTAAAACAACTTGTTGTGGTGATCTCTTGAAACAATTAGGTTGGTGATCCATCAATTTTTCATGAGTTCGAAAACCATGTAAACAGTTTAAACAATGTTTTTCACCGTGGTTGCGTTTCATATTTAGTAAACGATCAAAGTTTGAAATTAGAAAGTAATGATTGTCGTGGAAAAATAGATTCACATGTTTATCTTTCAGTTCACTTGTTATCCTAAATGGTATAATGTTTTCCTCGTTTAGAGACAATGTGTAAACATTCACTGAAACATTATTTGTCTTTTCAAATTTGTTGATTTGATTGGTTTTAACTTCACCACGACAACTTGAGAAATCGTATCTCCAACTTTGTAAATCATATTGAAACACCCTTTGAGGATTTTGATCCACGGGATGTAATGCACCCAATACACAGTACATAAAACAATCAGTTGTACAGTCCATATTAACGATAGCTTTTTTAGTGATAATATGTTTGGGTAACGAACATGATTTACAACCTCCTTGATGTGGTTCATATTTAACTAAATGAACTTCTACTTCCTTAATTGATTGAACACTCCAACCGCTTCCTTCTTGGGTAAACACATCCAATTTAGCATCAATTTCCTGTGAACATTCACCTAGAAAATGTTGAATATAATCATCATTACACAAAACTTTTTTAGATGAGTTGATGTAAACAGTCTTATTCTCATCATCACCATCATCCTTACTTGGTCTTTCTAATACAAACCAAACACCAATTGTAATTTTTACACACTCTAATTTGTTCACTAAATCTTCAAGAAGACTAGTTAAAGATGAGCTTTCATTGGAGAATAGAGTATCAACATCATTTGTATCTACATCACGCATAGAATATACTCCAAAAGTATTATTGAAAGCACTTTTTGATAAATTAAACTTTGGATGTTGTACTAAATCACCTATTTCTTCTTTCTCACATCTTTCTACATGTTCTCTAAACTTTGATAAAATTTTAAACTTTCGTCGACAATGTGTACACTTATAGGACATTTTTTTCACGAAAAGAATGATCTTTATTGTTAAACTGAGCTAAATGAGCTCTTACACGGGTTTTTATTAACGTCGACTCACTCCATCATCTAGTATCATGACTCCCTTGAAAAACCAGTATCGAATGTATGACATTGGCTCCGCCTCATAGTTTAAGGCACGCAATAGCTTAATCATATAGTCAAGAAATTTTCCTTTTACAATGTAAGAAATGAAACCTATATCCAGTCCCATGGAAATTTCGTTCAAGGTTATCACCAGTTTATTTATAGGGTCACCTTCAGCAACGACTGTAGGTTTAACTTTTCCAAGATATAGTTCCTCATAATCTCCAGTTAGGTCAAATTGAATCAGGTAATTCCTCAATGCAAATAAATCAATTATCTTTAAATCCAATTGTTTCTCCGATTTTTCGTTGACATCATATCGAATCAAGATTCTTGGGTACCATCTCTCGAGTGTTTCTGTTGTTTTTGCTTCAATATCAATTGAATAATGGTCACCGTTTTTCAAATAATATTTACCCAAATTAAATATGTGAGTTTGAATACCAGGTAAAGTTGGATCAATATCACTAGTATCTTTCCATCCAATTACCTTAGGAGCATGTCTATTCGCGTATCCTTGTCCACATTTACGATTTATCTTTCCAATGTTTTCAACGAATTTTCCTTCTTTAATTATTTTCACCAACTCAAATGGCCAGTAGTAATCCTTCGATTTCACTCGAACCTGAAGTCCACCATCGCTTAAAGTTGTATAAGATATAAGTTTACTCATGTCAACGTAGTTGGATTTACCACCGATAATAGATAATCGTATTTCATCAAATTCATAGAAAGGGATCTTCGTTATCACCTCCACTCCGTTTAAAACATAACTTATGTACACCGTAAAGAAAAAATGATTATTTTATTTAAACTTTCCTCTTAATGAGATTGTATAGACAACACCGTCTACAGTTTCAACATATGATGATAAATTTGTGTAAGTCATTTTCAAGTTTTTTTTAAAACTTATTATCCATAGACTTATCACCTTTATATTACACAAAGTTCCCACGGTTAAGGGGAAGAACTAATGCTTACCCCTGTTCTCTTTCTTTTTCTCTTTCTTTTCTCTTTCTTTTTATTTTCTCTTTCTCATTCTCTTTCTTTTTCTCTTTCTTCTCTTTCTTCTCTTTCTGTGCCAGAGCCTCCATTTTTTAACTACTCTTCGTCTACCCATTGAAAATTAACCCGCAGGTCACCAATTCATATTAAAAGAATTTACTTTGAATTTAAAGAAACTCCAATTCTTACTGAAAAAGATTATCTTAATCTTTATTTAAGGATTAACCATTTCATTTTAAATATTCTCCATTTCATTGTAAGGAAACAATCAATTCAAGTTGAAATCACTGTAATATCGGGACGTTGAGTTGAAAATAAAGTTAAAGTATCATCCATATATCCCATTCATTAATTAAACTAATCCTTAATGATTAATAGAACCTCTCTAATTGCCCCTCTATCATCTCACAAACTCCTTAACTAAATTTTCCCCCAATTAAAGAGATAAAGGAAACAAATACAAAACAATCTAATTGCTTCAGAGCAATTTATGAAACTTACCACAGTGATTACGCTTTTGTTCAGAGGGAATTCATTAATTGTGATCATATTATGAAATCGACCAGTTAAGTGCATCCATTTTTAACTTTATCCCAGAGATTACGACCCAAAGTTACTCATCACGAGCTCGATATGGTCATCACCATGTTTAGGCTATTCATTTTCTCATGATTAACCAACTAAAGGTGAATCAACATTTGTCTTACAATTAACGCCCTATGATCAAGTATAAATACTAGAAATATAATAAAAAACAAAGTTAATCAATATTCTATTGTAACAAATCCAATTATTGAAATTGATCATTAAATATAACTTTTTGATTGTATCGTTGAGTTATATTTCAACTAAGTTGGCTTGACAACGTTACAATTGTCATGATGATTGAAAAGTTTTTCCAAGTCTCATTGATCACATTGATCGTGATTGTAACTTGTAATTGTGAAAAATTTTGTCCAATTGATGATAAATTAAAATTTGATTGTCATGCTGATCAACCAAGAAATCAAGAATCTTGTGAGAAACGAGGTTGTTGTTGGACTAACAATCAAGGTAAGTAATCAAATCAACTCTTAATTGATTCATTAAACTATCTCATATTTTATTTGTCTCTCACTTCAAGACTCAAATACAAATCAAATACCTGATTGTTATTTTCCAAGTGATTATCAAGGTTATGTGATTAAGAAGCTTGATAATCAAGAAAATGGTGTAACAATTAAATTGACCAGGTTAAGAGGATCTGGATTACCGAAGGATATTGAAAATGTTGATGTCGAAGTGATTGGATTGGACCATGAGCGAGTTCGAGTCCGTTTTATTGATGCCAATTCTTCAAGATTTGAAGTTCCAATGCCTTTTCTTAATATATCACAAGTCGATACAATTGATTCACCTCTTTACACAATTAAGATTAATCAAAATTCAATCTTACAAGTTAATCGAGCATCAACTGGTTTACCAATTTTCCAAGTTGATTTGTCTAAATTAATTTACGCTGATCAATTCATTCAAGTTTCATCGATTGTACCAAATTCATTTCTTTATGGTTTAGGTGAACATAAAGACAATTTTCGAAAAAATCTCGATAACTGGAAACGTTACACTCTTTTCGCCGGAGGCACAAACCCCACCGAGAATATTAATCTCTATGCATCTTTCCCTTACTATCTAATGGTTGAGCCAGATAATCAATTCCATGGTATTTTCCTTTTAAACTCCAATGCAATGGACATAATCACCCAGCCCACTCCTGCGATCACGTGGAGGACGATCGGAGGTATTTTGGACTTTTTCATTTACCTTGGACCATCAGTCCAAGATGTCGTCCGTCAGAATATTAATCTTATCGGTCGACCAGTAATGCAACCTTATTGGGCACTAGGGTTTCACCTTTGTCGATATGATTACAATAGTACAGTTAAAACTCGTGAAACTTTGTACAGAAATATCGAAGCAGGAATACCAATCGAAGCTCAATGGAATGACATTGATTATATGGACAAGTACAACGATTTCACCATTGATCCAGTTGCTTTTGCTGGATTAGGTGAATATGTTGACGAATTACATTCAAAAAATTTACGATACGTTCTGATAATGGTAAATATTATTTTTCGTTAAGATTGTAATTAGAGTTTCTCATCTTAAATTGTTGTTTAATTTGTTAGGATGCTGGTGTAAGTGGATCAGAAGCCCCTGGAACTTATCCACCATTGGATGATGGAATTGAAAATGATATTTTCATCAAGAATGAGCTGAATGAAACTTTCATGGCAAGAGTTTGGAATCTTCAGTCAACCGTTTTCCCTGATTTTACTCATCCCAAAACAATTAACTATTGGACGAAACAATTTGCTGATCTGAAGGAGAAAGTTAATTATGATGGAGTTTGGATTGATATGAATGAACCTTACAACTTTTATCCAATCATGAAATGTTCAGATAACCAATACGATAATCCACCATATACTCCAGGCATTCAACCTCTTTACAACAATACTATTTGCATGTCGGCAAAACAATATGGCGGATTACATTATGATCTTCATAGTTTATTTGGATTACTGGAAACTGTGGCTACTTATGAGTAAGAATTAATTTTCTCAATTGTGATTAGTCTAATTTCTTCATATTTTTCCTTATTTCGTGTTCAGAGCTGTCAAAAATATCACTGGTACTCGACCTTTCATCTTGTCAAGATCTACATTCTCATCGCAAGGTCACTATGGGTCACATTGGTCAGGAGACATAAGGTCAGAATGGGATTTCATGAAATATTCAATCTCAAGTAAGCTAAAGAAACTTTTATTAATAAAAACGAAATCAATGATTGATTAATATTTGAATCAATTTAATGGTCAAGATTTACTCGAGTTTAACATTTATGGTATTCCGATGATTGGTAGTGATATTTGTGGATTTGCTGGTAACACGACTGTCCAGTTGTGTATGAGATGGTCATCGTTAGGTAATTGAACTTTGTTTAATTGTTGCAACTTCATTTTAATAACTTTACTAATCATGAAACTTTGGATTTCATTGAATAGGTGCTTTCTATCCGTTTTCAAGGAATCACAATGATTATGATACAATTGAACAAGATCCTGTCGCTTTAGGACCTAAAATCGTTGATGCTGCCAAATATGCGGTCAAATTGCGTTACCGATTGTTACCTTATCTTTACACGTTATTTTTCAAGGCTCACTTGTTTGCCGACACTGTGGCCAGGCCACTTTTCTTTGAATTCCCAAGTGATCCTGTTACTTATTCAATTGAAAATTCATTCATGTGGGGATCGGGAATTTTGATCGTTCCGATTCTTGAGCCTGATGTTAATTCAACTAACGCTTATTTCCCGTCTGGACTTTGGTACGACTTTGCCAGCTCACAACTAGCGATCAATAGTTCTGGACAATATCATTTGTTATCTATCGATGATGATAAGATCGGTGTTTATGCTCGAGGTGGTTCAATCTTACCTGGCTATTTATCGGCTGCAATGACCCTTACTGACCTATCAGCTGATCCTGGTTATCTGTTTGTTTTCCCTGATGAATTGGGTCAAGCCTCTGGTTCATGGTTCTCTGATGATGGTCAGTCAATTGATAATATTGATCAAGGACAATACACTTTTGGTCATTGTAAAGCTACAAAGGTTTGGACAATTGTTTATCTACAATTGGAGCAATTAACTAATTACTTTTCCAATTTTTCATTCACAGAAAATGATCTCATGTGATTACACCAAAATTCATGATAAAGGTAATTTCAAACTTGGAGGTTTGATCATCACTGCAGTTGAAACAAAACCAGAGACAATTAAATTAAATGGCAATCAAATTAATTCAGTTCAATTCAATGAAGAAAACAAATCAGTTAAAATTGATTTACCAGTTGATTTTAATTATCTTCAACCATTTACAATCAATTTTTAATGAAAATTGATTCTAATTAATGTTAAAAACAATCAATAAAATTATTTTATCCGGGAAAATTATTATCACTAATTAACTCGTAATAATTATTGATTAATCAAACAACCCTAAAGATTAATGGATTAATTAAGGTGAAAAAAATTCTATTAACTTAATTGTTACGTTGTTCGTCCACAGAAATAATTTAATTGTTCTTATAATTTATCCGAACCAAGTAAATTGCCCATAAATCCAAAGGAAAAATCATAACAATTAAATTTAGATCATAATTAAGTCCGAAAATTAAAAATCTCCAATTGAACAAATGACAAAATCGACATTTTTTTTAAATACACAATTAGTATTCCTCTTGACGATTAGTTAATTAACAACAATAGTTACATTGTAATGGAAAAAGACAGAAAATAATTATCTTTCTTAATAACAATTAAATTAGATTTCTAATTAATTGACTAATTAGGATTCTAATGGTTAATCAAATCAAATTAAAAATTAAACTTTATTTTCTTTAAGATTGTGAAGCTTTCAAGTTGATTTAATTTGTTTCCATATTAAGGAAAATTAACAAAATGGTTAAAAGATCAAGATCGAAATCGGTAAGTGATTATGATTAGTTAATTGTTAGAATTTAAGATCGAGTTGACTTTTTTTTCTTCGATAACTTTCCCTTTTTTTCGGCTTCGAAATTAGGTAATGTTCCCTTTCTTCCTCATGAAAGAAAAGGTTAAAATTGCTCATAAGAGAAACGATCAACTCATTGAGTCACTTTTCTTTAAATCTTCAACTTGTTTCTCTTTAATCAGGTTGGTTTAATTGTTACAATTAAATTCTTTGTTCATTTTTCTTGATTTGATTAGTTCTCAATTCTGTCTATTCATCTAATTTTATTTGGTTGATAATCTTTTCTCCAAATCTTGTAATAGGTTTACACTGTTCTTTCCTTTTCCTCCTTTTCTTTTTTTTTGTCTATTCTCTGTCTAGATTTTTTTTTCTCTTTTATTCTCTGTCTCATCTTCTGTCTGTGTTTTCTCTTGGTGACTTACTGAATTCGTTTTGTTCCTCTGCTTCTCTTTTCCTTTTTCTCTTGCTCTGTTAGTCTCTTTCTTTCTCCTTTTGTTTAACCTTTAATTTCTCAAGTGTTTGTGAGTTTCCATTTAATTTTTTTTTCTTCTCTTTTTTTCAGTCTAAACTTAGTTTACGTTTAAGTTTAACCAACATGCCTACTATTGGAATCAACGGTTTTGGTCGAATTGGGCGACTTGTCCTTCGTGCTTGTATTGAGAAAAAGTTGCCTGTAGCAGCCATTAATGATCCTTTCATTGATGTTAACTACATGATCTACATGTTCAAACATGATTCAACTCATGGACAATTCAAAGGTGAAATCAAGGAAGAAGGTGGTATGATGGTTGTATCTGGTCAACGTATTCGAGTTTTCGGTGAGAAAAATCCAGCTGATATTCCATGGGGTAAGGCTGGTGCTGAATATGTTGTTGAGTCTACTGGTGTTTTTACTACTGTTGAAAAATGTCAAGGTCATATTGCTGGTGGTGCTAAGAAGGTCATCATTTCTGCTCCTTCTGCTGATGCACCAATGTTTGTCATGGGAGTTAACCATGAATCCTATGATCCAGCTATGAATGTTATCTCTAATGCTTCATGTACAACCAATTGTCTTGCTCCTTTGGCCAAGGTCATCAATGACGCTTTCGGTATTGAAGAAGGTTTAATGACCACTGTCCATGCCATAACAGCTACACAAAAAACTGTTGATGCTCCATCAGCTAAAGCATGGAGAGATGGGCGTGGAGCTTTCCAAAACATTATACCTGCCGCTACCGGTGCTGCCAAGGCTGTCGGTAAAGTTATTCCCGATTTGAATGGTAAACTTACCGGTATGGCTTTCCGTGTACCCGTTCCTGATGTTTCAGTAGTTGATTTAACTTGCCGATTGAAAAAAGAAGCTACTTATGAAGAAATCTGTGCTGTTGTCAAGGCTGCATCCGAAAGCGATCAATGGAAAGGTATTCTTGGCTATGTTGATGAATTTGTAAGTTGACCTTGGAAACAATTTTATTAACCATGTGATGCGCACTTATTTTTTTTTATTTGATACTTTTCTCGCGAGAGTAAAACACTTAAATCTTACATTTTTTTTCTTCCTCTCGCCCCCTCTCTCAGGTTGTATCATCCGATTTCGTTGGAAGTACTCACAGCTCAGTTTTTGACGCTAAAGCCGGAATCTCTTTGAACACCAAGTTCGTCAAGTTGATCTCCTGGTATGACAATGAATATGGTTACAGTAACCGAATTGCTGATTTAATCAAGTATATCTCTACTCGTTAAACCTTGAAAAGGTCCAAACCCAAAGCATTTTCAACAAAATAAGAAGAGTAGTAGTAATCAACAAATCGTAATTTTCAATTAATTCACAGTCCAAATTTAATGCGTCAATCGTTTTACCGGAAAGCTACACAATCATATTTACATTTAAACGCAAACATCTTATCATGAAAGAGAAAATAATTTCCTCTAAATTCATTTTAGTTCTGATGATAATTAAATCTAAATATCATCTTTTCCCCCCTCTCTTATAATTAATAGTTTTCTCTTCTATCTTCTAGTAATTAGTTAAATTGTCCGAGTCAATAAGAAAAAAAAATTCTATCTCTACATCCAAAAGACAAGTTACATTAATCAAAATCTTTATTCTCTTTGTGATTCTAATCAATTTTAACTTTAAATTATGTTTTGAGTGAAATTAAATGTGGTTTAATTATCTTAAACAAAATTGATCGGTTACAATTCATTCATCTTAATTTCCCATTTTCCAATCGATAAACAATTAACTTTTCGCGTTAAGGTTAATTTAAATTTCTAAACAATTGTAACGATGTAAATTAATAGTCGGTAATTTAATTCTACTCTTTCCTCGTTTAATTAGTCCCAAAGGTCCTTCAACTTTTAACTAATTGTTGAATTTGTACAATTGTAATTATCCTTGGATAATATTGAACTTTGATTAAATGTGCAAACAACAATTTACCTGATTAGATGAGGAAATTGACAATTAATTATCTCTGATGGTTTTGTAATCAATTCGCATATTGATTTAGTCAATTTAACTATTTTTCCAACTGCAAATGAGCCGATTGATCATATTAATAGTCACAAACGAATTGATTGTTATTAACAGTATTGACCTAATTGTCCTTAATCATGATTAACAATTTGCATTTCTACAAATAGATTACCAAGGTTGATAATACAATACCTTTTGTTAATCTATTGATTTTAATTGTTTGTTATTGAAGAAACGATTGATTGTACTCACCAAGTAATAAAGATTAGCTATTGATTTGATTTTCTTGCTTTCATAACCAGAATAACGTTTGTACAAATGTCCGGAAGAATCAATCAACTAATGTTAATTGTTGATTGTGAAAATCTCATGTCAAATCATTGAATCGATTGATTGTTTTTTCAACAATACAAAGTATCAAGTTCAGTAAATGAGTTTCCACCAAAATTGATTTAGTTTATTTGGACTTGATGATTGTAATGAGATCAACAATTAAATCTTAAATTCATTGGAAAGAAAAGAAAATAATCAAACTAATCAATAAAAATCGTTGATGGTGATTATTTGTCAACCATTTAATTGTCACCAATCAATTGAAATAACCGACGGGAATTAAACCGAAACCGAAAATTAAATATTCTCACCGGTTGATTTTTCCTGAACGAATGTTTTGAATATTCATTATTCTGTTTGTTTGTTTGATTGTTATTGTTTTTGATTGTTGATTCTTAATTAATAGTTTATAAGAATGTCAAAAGTAAATAAGGTGATCTTTTTTTCGGAGAGACGATTTGATGGTGTTAATGATTTAGACTTTGAAATAGTGGATGTTAAGATGATTCGGTAAATTCTGATGAAGAAACTGTAAGTTGATTTTATCGCTTTTTATTTTTTTTTGTTGCATTTTCATTGTTACAGTTTTGTTTTTAGAGGAAAAATGGTCATTTTGAACTGGACGAAGTAAGAAATGGTGGTCGAGAAGTTGATGATGCTCCTCTCGATGATTTAGAAGATGATGATGAAGAACCGTCATCGAAGAAACTGATGAATCGTGACGAGAAAGTGACGCTCGTAGGGTCAAATGGTCCAACGGTAATTCGCCCTTCATCTTGGATCGGAAATTTTCGATATCAACAAAGTTTCCTGAAAAGCTGAAAGATCAGAGTTTTACCCAATATTGGTAAAGATCCTGATTGATTTGAACAAGACAAATGAAGAAATAGTTAATTTTCAACTTAAATTGACAAACAATCAAGAAAAATCAATGGGTTTCAATGTTTTCTTCTAAATAATTAATTTTTCATTAGAATAAAAATGTATTAATTAACAAAAGACACAAACAATTAGCAAAAAAAGAGAATCGTTTTTGAGTTTATTGTTTATCGCTAAAAAGAAAATGCAATTTAGATGATTAATTAATCATCATGTTGGTGAGCTCTATTGAAATCTTGTTAATCCCAACTGTTCATTTCCATAATTAATCCTAATAAAAAAACTTGTAAGTATTAATACATTGAATATATTGTTTATTTCGTAAATATTTTTACTAATTTTTTTCTTTTCGAAACTTTTTTTTTCTTGATTTCTCAGGTAATTTAGTGAACAACTTGGTCTCCGGTGGTTCATCGTTTATCGTTTCCATTTTGAAGGATTTTATGGGAATTATTGTGTTCGGTCTCTGCGAAGTCAAGATTATCATAGAAAACAATTGGATGTTGTTTTTTCCTCTCGTTCCAATGAAGACATTCACCTAAACTGGAAAACCAGTCACTCATTGGATCTTTGAAACAAATCGATGGAACTGGATGAACTGAGGTGGTGACATTTAACCTAAAAAGAGAAATTCAAGTGAAAAATAGTTTGTCGATGAAAAGAACCACAAGAGAATCAAATTACTCACTCATCACCCAAATTCAATTCTTGTCGTTTTCGTCCATCAAATGAGACCCATGCTGGACCTCGAGAATCTTTGGAAACCAGAATCTGAACATAGTTATGAATAGGAAAGAAATGGAGATTAGGTTTCAGGGTGAATCTTATTGATAATATCAGTTGATTTACTTTAAGTTGAATTCCTGCTGGAACTACAATCGGACGGAATGATAAGGAATGTGGACAAATTGGTGTAACCATAATCGCTGGGACACTTGGATGGACCATTGAAGCTCCAGCGGCTACTGCATAAGCAGTACTTCCAGTCGGTGTTGATACAATTAAACCATCACCTTGAACGGTTGTTATATATTTACCTTCAATATAAAGGTCAAGGTTACAAAGGAAAGGTGATAAGCCACGATCAAGAACAACTTCATTGAGAACAACAAATTGATTGGATTGGTCAACAATCGTTTCAATTTCAGTTTCCTGTTTACGAACACAACATGACAATCGACTTCTCAAGGTAACACCAGCTTTACCTAAAAGTAAACACGAACGCACAAACGCACGCACACACACACACAACCACATACACGAATGGGAAAACAAAAGAAGACGATTATTAGTACAAATTCAATGAAATTAAAGGATAAAAATTGGTTAAGGTGGTAAATCACCTTCGATAACTTTGGTTACTTGTTGCTTAAACGATTCAAACTCGAACGGAGCTAGAAATCCAAGCGATCCGAAGTGAAATGCCATGACCGGTGGAACCTTGCTCTAATTAGTAGCGAGGTGTTGGTGTTATTGGTTTCGTGTGTGTGTGTGTTTGTGTGTTTTGAACAATTTGTTTTAATTCAATTTTCTAATTGTTTGATTTTTTTTTCTTCAGATAATCAATTTCATCTAATCTCATCTCATCCTCTCATCAAGTTTTTGTTTCTAATTTCATTACCTGGAAAAGCGAGGATGCATATAAAAGTGTCCCATCACCTCCCAAACAGATGACCAGGTCAACCTCTTGGTCCAAACCACGGCCATTTCGATCAACCTCAAAGGTTATCAGTTTATCTCGAAACTGTTTAAACAATGGTTCACCTCGATTTCGTATATCTTTAAGTAAATTGTGTTCAACCAGAACAACCATTTGCTTATCCTGATTTCCAATGGAAAATCATCAAGACAAATTGATTGTTCATTTTACGAGAATAAAATGAACAGAAAGACAAAAATGAAATGACAAATTTTACACAATCAGGTAATTAAGAAAATAATATTGTAATAACATCATTAAGACATAATCATTAACTAATTGATTCTAATTATTTTGTTTTTCTTCCTCAACAGAATCAAAAAAAACATCACAAGGAAGTTTCGAAGATGAATAATATTGAGAAAAACTTACCACTAAAAGCCATTGAGTTAACTGAATGAAACTCGGTAAAATACTGGAATCGTGAATCTTATGGATAACAAGAACATTTTTCGGAGGTTCAGGCCAATTTAATCGTTGATTGTGCATAGTCCTAGGATCGGAGAGTTCCATTCATATGGACGATTGAAGACAAGATGATTTGAAGGGAAGAGAAGTCAAAGAAAAGGACTAATAAGATGACGAAGAAGAAATTGGAAAATAAATGACAAAAGATGACAAAAATAAGACGAAGAGGGAAACCGAACCACGAAGCGACACAAACAAACAACAAACGGGCACGAAAAAAGTCAAAATGTTTACACAAAAAGATGACAAAAAGGATAAATCGTCTTTTGGATGGTGGAAAACTATTGATGAAGATATTACATAACATGAGATGCTATCAAATTCTTGGATTCATGGCCAACTTGAGCTTTTTTATCTCATCGTCCACTCTATCATCTTTATCATCTTCTCCATCAATAATATCACCACATCATCATTGTTATCACCATTTTCTCATCAATGGAATAACTTTACTTTTCTGTCGTTTACATCGTTCTGCTCTACTGTAACTACAAACTCTCACACTTTGTCTTCCTTCATCTCTCATCATTCACTAATCATCGTCATCATTTTTTGTCTCTTTTCTGTTTACCTGAACTGCTTCATTGATTTAAACTTTTTCAGGTCCAACAATCTTGCACCTAAATGACGACAACGATGATGATGATGATGATGATGTCGAATGAGATAAACAACAGAAAAGCAAAGTGTCCAAAACAAAAGGTATTCTGTCAACCATAATCATCATCTTCTCATGCTTATTGTGCTCTCTTTCCCTTATCATTTTGTCAATCGTGTCATTGTCACAATAATAATAATGTTAATGTGACAATGATTAACTGTCAACAATTATGATTTAGTGAATACAATTATCAGAAATACAGTTTCAATTATTTTCTTCCAATTTCTACTTTAGCATCTTCTCATTTGCATATCGTTTGTTTTTCAGGTCTCACGTTTCTCTGATTTCTAATAACTAATATTTGATTAACTATTTTACCTCTAACAATTTATGTATATATTGATTACAATTCAAGTTAATTGCTTTGTCTTACTTACCCAATATATGTGTACATGATAACTGAATTAAAGAGGATGATTACTATGTATTACTAATTATTATCGATGAGAAAACACCATGAAAAGGAAAGTGATTAAAAAAATTAAATCTAAATATAATCGTTGATTAATTGGCAGTTGGTCAGATTGATTATCAATCGTATTGGAGGTGATACAAGACAAATATTGAATGATGACACTTTACAATCACACGAAATGATCAGGGCAAAAAAAAAGAAGAAGCAACAATTTACTAACTAATTGTGATGGAAATTAATTTTTTTTCTTCATTTGATGATTAGATTTTCTGTTGTTAATCACTGATTTAAACGTTTCCAAGAGATGAGATGATTGTTGTGATTATTTAAGGAAAATCAAAAGCAAGTTTCAACAATTGGACGAGGAAAAAAAAAGCGATTCAATCGTAACCTTATTTGGAGCTTTTATCTCACTCGTTTTATAATATTCATCATTTATATTACACCTTTCTCACTCTATCATCATCATCATCATCATCATCATCATTATCATCATCAGTGTTCAATTCTCTATCTTCACGAGGAACTGGAAATTGAAACTATCCGATATCTTCCACTTTCTAATAAAGTTTTGTTATTATTATTCTCATGTGAATCCGCAGCAACTTCCGTTTCATAGATTATGATTAACACAATTGATTGATGACAAAAAGTTTTCAATTACAAGGTAAACAAAAAGGTTAGCACGTCACAATTAACACGGCGATTCACCAACCTAATCGGTTAATCTAATTGTCAGGTAATTAGATTGTTATTACTGTTGTTGATTCAAGGATTTTCGGAAGCAAATTTCAATTTGATCAAATCAATTCAAGTCGTAATAATAATGTTTTACAATTAACTCACAAAGGTGAACAACAATTAAGTGATTATACAAAATATGAACGACGGTCAGTTGGATGGACAAAGATATTGATGGTCATTGAAAGACTTTAGGACGAAAGGAGGAAATTAAAATGAAATAAAATTCTCAATCAATTAAAGTGGAAAACAATCAACACAATTAAACAAACCTTTCCATTGGTAATAATTTGTAATACTAATGATGTTACCAACTAATCACTATGATGAGTTTCTTTGTACTTATCCAACAATCAAGAGAGGGAGAGAGACAAACAGAGATCATGTTAATTATAATTGTTAATTACAATAAACTGTACCCAATGAACAAACTAATCAATAGATTGAAAAATTTTAATTCTATCTGAAACAATTAGTAACATTTGTAATCGTAGAAACTTATTGATTTTAACTGTTTGAGACTAAATTATCGTTGGAAAAACAATTAGAAAATAAAATTGTTATTCTCATTTGGAATCAGCAAAATCCTTGGTAACGATAGATTAGCAAAGGATCAATTTAATGTTTTAATCTATCAGGTATTCATTTATGAATGAATTACAATTATCAACAATCAATGTGGAGCAAATATTAAGGTAAATATTGAGTAATGTTCATAATCCAGATGAGAAATTAAATCAATAATCAAAATATCAATCGCGTGTTCATGATAAGTACAATGTTAGTTTGTTCATTTACTATTGATACGTCACAATGTTGACAATTAACTTGATCAATTGAACGATTAATTTACATCATCATCAAGGAAGTTGATTGTTTATCCAATTAATCAAATCTTTTCGTTTCGACGAAGTACAAAACAATACGAAGATGAGAAAAACTTTGATGAAAGTTAATTGCGAGCGAAAAAAAAAATAACAATCTAATCGGCTGTAATCAAATAGTAATAATTGTTGGCCTAAACTTACTGAACAATTAAATTAACGTTTCAATTGATGAACCTTAATGAGTAACAATCAAGGAAATGAATCAATTGGCTTCGGATTTGGGTTGAAAATGTTGATCAATCGATGAGTTTTTGGCTTCGACTTTTTGATTAACCAGTTGATTTTTAATCTTAAATGATGAATCGTCATTACCTATTAATAGTTAAGTGTCAATTGATTGTGTCCGTTATTCTGATTAGTTTATTGATTGAACAATTATCTAGTAAATCAACATCAACACCCTCGCCGGTAACATCGATACCTTTTTCAGTTGAGGTTGTGACTGATTTTCGAGGCAACATCTTAGATAATAAGGAACAATCAACTAATAGTGATGATAAACTTTCAACACAATCACCACTGTTAATTAACAAGGATGTTAATAGTAACAATTTAACCAATGTGAGTGGGACAATTAGTCCAATTGGATCTAAAATTGAAGGTATTTACAGTGACGATTATGATGATAACGATCAATCAATGTGGCTTGATTTAGGTGCTTATTCAGGTGATCATGGTTCTTATGGTTGGTATGTTGATCATCCTGTTGGTGATTAACTAATTATTTATTCAATTACAAAATTAATTAATGAAATGATTAGCATGTAACTTAATTTACTTGATCAACTATTGATACATTGATTGATTAATACATTTATATATTTGTATTTATAATTTGTTTGTATCTCTCTCCTTGATACTCAATTGTAATCTGAACAAATTGTTGACAATTAATACAATTAACCTAATTAACCTTTAATTTTTCATTTGCTTACCTTGAAATGATTAAATAAAATTTTAAATTACACTAATTCAATTGATTATCAATGTTGTTTTTTTTTGTTTTAATTGTGTTCACTTGTTGTTGTCAAATCCAAAAATGGTTACCATTGATTGTTGTTGATTAAATTGTTAGTCTGTTTTAATTATCCTTTAACATGAGTAATTGAAAACCAGTTCAAAATGGTTAACTTTAATTGTGTACAATTTATTGATCATTACCAGACAGTTATAATTGATCAGATTGTTAATCAAAAAGTAATTGAATATTATTTGTTTCTCAGATCCTAATCATCACCATGATTAAGATGATTGTTGTTGATTAAAATTCAATTACTGTTCAACTAGTGGGTTTGAACATTAAAATTGTAATAATTAATTAACTTAATCACTATGATTAACACAAGAAAACGGGTCAAAATTTTTTGTTTTGTTTTGTTTTTTGCTGCTAATCAATTATTCATAATGATAATCAACAATTAAGTCAACACACTGATCTCAATTAGTCAATTGATTTTCAAGGTTTAACGATTATACAACAATTACCTTAATTATACAATTAAAAGGTTACAACTGATTGATAATTTAATCATTAGGAAATCTAGAAATGATAAAATTAAAGTTAATCAGTTTGTTAATATTAATTATGGATTAATTTGTTTTTATCTTATATTTTTCAAGCAATTTGACGTAAAATTAAAAGTTAATCAGTTTCTTCCTGATTAAAACGTAATTGTAACCCACAGTTTGTAAAGTTAATTGTTGATTATTGTGAATTAATATGAATACAGTTTAATGATTGAATCAACTTTACCCACATAATAATAATTAAATTGTTGGTTACTGACCGGATAGGGTCAGTTAATCATTGATTAACTAAAATTGGTAAAAGTTAATTGAAAGTTTACCTTGTCGACTGTGGATTTAATTAGTTAAATGATTAAAGTGATGATGGTCAATTGATAACAAATTAAATTGTAATCATTAAATGACCTCGTTCAGTCCAGTTACCGTCTTGAATATAATAACAATTGAACACAATCAGAAAGAAAAGTTAATTCAATGAACATAATTTTTGTTTGATTACCAAACAATTAAATCGCCAATGTTAAATGAAATCATTAAACTACCAAAGATTTTAACAATTTAAACACTGGGAATTACCAAGAGCAGCAATTTAACACGCGGGCAACAATTTTAATATGATTAACGTTGATTGTTGAGTGATAATCAATGAGAAACTGTGAATGATTAACATCGATAAACCTTCAGAAAAACAATCAACTTGAAGATAAATTATTAGAAGAAAAATTTTCTCTTAATCTCCTCTAATTGTTGTTACTAAATCCGTTAAGGTCAAGGCTTGATTATCACAATTTAGCGTATTATTTACCTGAACATATGAGTATTAAATTGTTATCAGATTGTAAATGATAATCTTAAATCACAATCACAAATTGTGAGAGACAAAGTTGTTAACGTAACCATTAACTTTGTATTAACAATTATTAATACAATAAACTTAACACTTGACAACAATTAACCTCTAACTGGTTTAACTAACTAATTTCTTGCATAAATCACACACTCAGGCATAAATGGTTATATTAATAAATGATTAAATTAACAGCAATTAAGAAATGAAAAGAGACAACAATTGAAATATAAAGAGCAACAAAAAAATCCACCAAAGTATTAATGAGAAAAAAATAGAAATTAAATGAAAGCGATCACGGAAATCAGGCCTCGAGCTAAATCGGACTTCGAAAAGTGTCCTAATCAACACGACCATTAATAGAATAGCAAAATTTATAATTGCCAATCGAGTTAAATTTCAACAATTAACCAAATACAATTTCACAGTATCTCTAAGGTCATGACACTTGCCGATGAAACAATCAGTTAATTTGATTAGTTAACAAGATTCGAACCATTAAATTGGCACCTTAACACCACCCACTTTCCCTTCCCTCTTTTTGCATATTCGAGAGAAAGAGGAAAAGAAAGAGAGATTAGAACTTTTTTGTTATTAAAAAAAATTCGAAACAAAAAAAGTTTCACTTTCTAAAAACGTACTAAACGTAACCAAGGCCAGAATAGGTGGTTACCAAAGTTAACATTTAATTTCGTTGGTGAGTTAAATTGTTGATCACAATCAACGAAAGAGTTGAAGAAAAGAGAGAGAGAAAATCTTAATTGTCAACAGATTAAAAGTGAAGTTGGTCAGTAAATTGTTTCTCATAATCGACAATTTAATTCCGTTGTTAACGTTTCGATTTTTTCGTTTGTCAAGTTGAAACTTTCGCTTCGTTGTTTGTTTTTTACTTCGTGTTTACAATCAAGTTAATTATTATTATTAGAAAATCATGTATTTTACTGGATCGTTAATTGTTACCCTTTTATTGACCATTAATTCAATCAATTCCTGGCCAAGTGGAGCTCCCGAAAAGACCTGTTCCTCCTTGCGTCCAGTCCATGGTGCTAATGTCGCTAAAACATTGGACACTTCACCTTTCACCTTAACCCAATCTCATCAAACTTATCAACCCGGTGAAAAAGTTAGAGGTAAGTGATCAGTTAATTGTTGGTGATTTAATCTTTCCCTCCATGAGGTTGTTTATATGTAATACTAGTAAAAATTTTGATCATAATTAACTTTGATTAATGAGGATAAGTTTAGCTTCAACTATTAAGCTAATTAGTAACTGATTTCTAAGTAATCAACTTTAAAATGAGTTTAAATTTACAAATTGTAAAAAAAAGAGACAATTAATCAACATTAACTTAGCTGATTAGGTTGATTAATTAGCTAGATAATTACAAAATTTTCCAGACTTTTTTATATTCAATACAAAGGTTTTCCTTTCTAACAATTAACTAATTGTCGTATAACAATCAGTAGGTGATCACATAATCAGATACTAGTGTATACATAATGTATTGAGTGTATTAACTAATATTATTATCAGAAAAATTAATTTTTACCAAATAATCAGAAACCTTGACACTTAATAATCAATTTTTATTAACATGTTGGGTAACAACAACAAAAAGTGATTAACTAAATACAGTTAAGCAGAAAGTAAACAATTAACATGGTTAACTGATTATTTAGGTTTCATCATCCGGTAAACAATATAACAATTTATTATCAACGGAAGTTTCAATAACAATTAACAATTAAAAAACATGTTACAATGAGTCTGAGTGTGTGAAAATTTCAACACAATAATAACAACAATTAATCAATTGATTAACAATTTATTTTACCACCAACAGTTGACCTTAAGGCATCTACTGGTCAATCATTTAAAGGATTAATGGTCCAAGCTTATGATCCATCAACCGATAAACCAATCGGTAAATTTTTACCTGGACGAGGATTGAAAACTTATGATTCCTGTTCATCGGTCACTCACACTGACCGTCGGGGTAAACGGGGAGCAATGTTGATCTGGGAAGCGCCTAAAGATGTTTCCGGAAAGGTCGCATTCAAAGGGACAGTGGTCAAGCGATTCAGTGAATTTTATGAAGGTATCAAAGCGACAGCAGCACCCAAATAATCAAAGGTTAATTGTTGACCATTAAGGTCATCGCAATCATCATTAAACCACCACCGCCATTGATTAAAAAACCCTTGACCGCTCTGGTCAATCATCATAAAACCTTAAATCCAAAGCCTCTGATTACGATGGAAACAGTTAATTGTTATTCAATTATACTTATTGACCCTTTAATTGTAATCAATGTAATTTTTTTTTCCTTCATTTAATAAGTTCTGATTATTTTGATTCTCATTTTTGTATAAATGTTTGATTAATTTGCTCTAATAACAATTAAAAAATCAATACTAGAAATTATCAACAATCTTTGTAACCAATTAAATGTTTAATTGATGATGAAGATGATCACACAATCAAATGAAAAGATTTGTTAAATTGCAAATTTACCCATTTCCTTGCAATTAACTTAACCTCTTGAAAGTTAATCATCACATGAATTGTTGATGATTAGATGAGCATCTTAAAAATAGATTCTAGGTCTAATCATCATCAGTATTTATCATGATGATTAACATGATGATGATTCAACTATTGAGTTTGAACAGTTAATTGTAAACCAAATTGTTTCTTATGAATTAGCCAATGTGCTTTTTTAATCACTTGCCAAGTTACATTTAAGATATAAACATGTTAACCATGAAAAAAACAAAATGTTCAATTAGTTAACTGTAATTTTGTCTGGTGAAACAATTAAGTAGTGAATGGATGAAGCTAATCAACAACAATTTGGAAAATTATTAACTTTAATCCTTAATTCATATCCTTGGTTTTCCCTTATCACAATTAGTGTTAATTGTCAATGGTCTCTGGATACAAAAGTAATCAAGGATTAAGCTCAACAATGAATCATTAAAAAGTTGATTAACTATCAAATCTCAATGTCACTGGAAAAGTAAATTAAAAAAAAAAGGTAAGACAATCAACGATTAATTTAATAGTTGGCTAATTATTATCTTCTTAATTGTTGCTGTTAATAAGTGTTTGGAACAAGATGAGTGTCGAAAGAGCAAAAATCATTCTAACGGAAACTTTGTTTTCGAAAAGTTCTAATGGTCCAAATGACCTGATCAGTTTAACTGGAGGTCGACCTTTAATTGCCGATTCATTGATATATCGTTTAACTTTTGACCCGGAAGAAGATGATTATTGTTATGATGATGATGATGATGAGAAACAATTATTTACTATCAACAACAATTTAAAATCATCAATTGATGTTAACGATAATGATGTTGACATGATAAATGTCTGGTCATCCAATTGGGACAACAACAATCAACATGATGACCATGAAAATAATGGACATGATAAAATGAAAATCAATGAACCAGAATTTAAGAAATTGATTTTCAATTCGAGGCAAACAATTAATAAATTGAACGTCTCTTCATTAGCTGATGAAATAATTGATTCTGAAATGAACTCATTGAAATGTTTACAATTTAAACCCACGAATGAAACAATTAAACCCACAACAATAATTAGTGATTATAGTGAAACAATTGAAACTGATCATCATTATAATGGTAAATCAACTGGACAATGTCCATCTACTGGAAGGAAATGGAAATCATCAATTTTACCATCACTTATGAGAGGGACAATTAACACGGAAACATCAATAATCACTCGTAGTTGTCCACCGACTCGAGCTTGTCTTTCATGCTGTACAATTAGCTAATTACCATCATCATGACAACAATTAACAGAATCACGAATCCTCAATGAAATCAAAAATTGATCAAAAAGCAAGTTGATTAGTTGGACAATTAAAACCTAATGATGGCGATGATCAGTTACCATGAAAGTCTAAGAGGTTTTTGTATGTAAATAAATTCACAGTTTTCATTAATTGTTACAATTAAAGTTACTCTATTATTTGAAAATCGTCGTTCAATTGAATTTTATTCATGGGTTAATTTTTTCAGTCTTAAATTTGCCCCAAACATGTTAATTGATTTGCTCTTAATTACGATTCATGGGGAATTAGTCATGGCTGGAGTTCGTGAACCAATTAGTTTGCCCTCTTCAGGCCCCGGGGCGAAGGAAGTTATCATGATATTTACAATGGTGATTAGAAAAATCAGAATTAGAACCGCGTTATTAGCACTTTCCGCTTTTCGATGGTCACCTCGAAAATTAATATTCCAACGTCCGAGGAAAATTAAAATGATTCCAACAACAATCTAATTTGAGAAGAGAAATTTAAATTAATCAGTATAATCAATGTGATTTATTATTTGATAGTAGAAGTCAAATTACTTGAAGTATTATTGAAAAGGTTAACAAGCTAAGGGTCACAGCAAAGTACCGATGGTCAGCAGAGTTGATGAGAATGTATTTCAACTGTGAAGCATTAGCGGTCATCAGGGCGATGTCCATCATCCCTTGGGCCACAGTTTTCCGAGTTGCGTAAATGTTTACGTCCATTGGCATGTTTGAACTTTTTGGTAGTTCGGGCGACATTGGTCCAGCTATTAGATGGTGATGTAAGTGATTACCTCCCACTCCTCCGGTCGTTACCTCTAAAGGTCCGTTTCGAGGATTATCTAGCATTGATTCCTCTTCGTTCTGTTATTGTCATGAAAGAGAAACGGAAGGAAAAAAGAGATGGTAGAAAAATAAATTAATTCGAACAAAAAATCGAACATGAAAAACTTTTCTGTTTACACTTTATTATTACAGCAACAATTGAGAATTGAAGATCAAACATACGTTTCGAGTTCTAACCTCATGGGATAAAATGAGAGAATTGAAACTTTTTTTTCTTATTGAAACATGATAACAATCATCAGAATCATCTAAATGTTACAAGGATAGATTCTCAATGTATCTTAATAATCTTATCATTATATTTGTAGATATACGATCATTTTGCTCTCTCTCATGTGTACCCCTGGTGTAAAACCTCAGCCTGAGGCGATTTAATTTTCCATAAGAAAATAGAGAGAGTCGAAATTTATATATAATTTTCGAATTTTTGGAAAAAGTTCTGCAGTCAATTCTCGAGTGTAATTGAGATTAGATGAGATGACGATGGTTCCATTTCCATTAACCAGAACTTTCTATTCAATTGAATTTCCAATTTACCTCATTCCACCCCTGATGATGATGATAACCAAAGAGCGCTAAAGGTGCTCCAAGCTATCACCATGAAAATGATTTTTCTACATCATGATGAAGAATAGAAGGAAAAAAACTTGGTAACAAACAACAATATCGAATCTTATCAATGGAAAAGTTGAACAAACTTAATTCGAAAATAAGTTTCAACCTTTTCTTTATTTTCTATTCTCACCATTATCATGATAATAATCATCATCACCATGAGCATATAAGGTTAATTTGATGAAGATATTTTATGGAAACTGAGATACGAACATGAAAGTTCTGACAAGAGAAAAATGTTCGATATCTTTGATTGTTTTCGTTTTTTACTCTTTATTTCTTCTCTTTCTTTTTGGTTTTATTCGATTTCTGGAGAAATAAATTCAACGTTCAATTGTGTTCGATAAATAAATGAACAAAGTTCTAATATCGATAATGTTTACATGGAGAAGAAGTAGAAAAAAAATAAAAGTAAAGTTCTAAACATGAGCCAAAGTCTTTTCAAATGATATACATTTAGGTTAAGAAATGAAATCAAAACTTTAAATTCTGGACAGAACTTTACTCTCTTCAAGTTCAACGATGATTCAGTTGGAATGAAATATTATCATGAAGTCTCATGAAACACTCAAATTCTCCTTCTATAAGAATATTTTCTAATCAGGTAAATGAGATTTTCCATTAGCTATATTAACGATATTTTCTTTTACTCCAACTTTTTTCTTCTTATTCTATCAACTTGTCGACTTTTACTTCCTATGAGATGAGATTCATTGTCAGAACTTTTCCACCTTCGCTCTTTTCTTATAAATAATAATATCGAAAATTTTCTAATGGAATTAATTTTTTCTATCTCATCTCAATAGTTCTGCCAATCATCATATCCAAACTCGAGGGTTCACAGAATCAATCATCTTGATTCTCACACGAATATTAATCAATTAATCTTTGAACAGATTCACCTGACAGTTAATTATAATTCAAAACTAATCAACTTCTTCTAATCAAATTTTCGAGTTTGGTTATAGAAATGAAAATGTTAACAAAGAAAATCGAAACTTACAAAAAACAGAAAACTTTTTTTCTCTCTACTATTAGAACTTTTTTTTTCTTCCCATCGTATCTCATAAAAGATTGAAATTCATGATAAAATCTCGAGTTTTCATTTCTTTAATCAGAACTTTCATAAGTTTAGAGTATAAGAAAAACAAGAGAGTCGAAGTTTTTTTTTTCTTCGTCGAATTATCAAATTGAGAGAGAAAAAAAGTTCTAACACAGGAAATGGTTTCATATTAAACTTTCCATAAATAAATCAATAGAAAATAAAAACTTTGATTGTTGATCAAATGATTAAGAAAAGTTGATCGTTAAATTGTGATTGATAAAAGTAAATCAACTTAACTATTGATCAGAATGATGATAAATTATTTACCTTAACTGTTCAAGGGTAACTCGATTACACTTAATTGTATTAATAGTATGAATTTATCAACAGCCTTATAATGAAATTTAGATCAACAATTAAGAAATGGTTAATATGTTGATCAACAATTTAGGACAAAAATAATTTTCTGTAGGCGGGAAAATTAAATGGTGACTGAAAATAAATTTCTATAAATTATTCATCATCAAAACTAAATTATGATTCACAATTAATAAAAAAAACTAAATTGATTTAAAGTTAATTTGATTTACAAATTGTTACAAAATAGAAACAATTAGAATGATATTTTCTGTTATCAATTTAATATATTGACTACAATTTTGATGTTAATTCAATAAAACTTGTTCATACATTCATGTATTAACCATTGTGATTGATTTAAGATAATTAATAAAGTACAACAATTAACAATTTGATTAGAAAACAATCAATTAAATACTTGCTCTTGAATCCATATAAATTTGATCATCACAAGAATCACAGATGAAAAGATTAACTTCCAGGATCGATTGATCCACAATTAACACCAACAATTAAGGGTTTACAATTTAAGGTGATCAAATAAAATGATAACAATTAGTTCAGTATGATGATCAGTTAAAAGTTCACAATTAGTAATACTCAACAATTAACAAAATAGAAACACTTTCATCAGATTGATACTAAATTGTAATGTGAATTTTTAGTTAACAATCAAAAAAAAAGGAGATCGTTTTTCTTGTATTATTAATTTTCCTACTTAATAATGATTAAAACCAACAATTAACTAAAACACTTACCTTTTCATGTAATAACAATTAAAGTTGATTATAAACCTGGATTCATGATCACAATTAATATATTAATCATGAGTGTTTACATCTGCTCTTGTCTTTGAACAATTAGATTGACAATTGGATTTAACTGTTTGGGATTAAGATGATGATCAATCTTTGGGTTTGGTTTTAATTGTTTTCAAATCAACAACTTTTATCTAATAATTAAGGTAAAATTATTTAACCAATCAAACTATAAACACAATGATCACAATTTAAATCAACAATTAATATATTATTTTATGGTGATAATAAATGAAAAACAAACGTTGGATTTTAATTGTTAGACTGAAAATCAACACAATCAATGGTTAAACCGGTTCATGATTAAGATGATGATGATGATTAAGTTAATAGTCAGATGTTACCTGTAGACTGATTGAAAACTGGTTTGATTATAATGGTTGGTTAATTGTTTGAATGTTAAATTGTGGGCTAAAAATGTACGAAATTAATTGTTGATTGTATAATCAAGTGGGTTGATTAAAACCAGAAAACCAGATTAAATGATTAAACGTTAAATCTGGTAAGTTATGTTTACCTTAATCAAGTGTAATGATAAAACAATTAGCAAATCAAATAGTGAATTAATTTAATTGTGGCAAAAAAAACTAAATCATCATACAAATTATGATTTAATTACTTAATTGTTTTGATTTCTTTTTGTTTTGTTATTTGTTTGTAAATGAAATCAGTTCGTTGGACTTGAAAAATTGTTGATTAACTAAATTTAGTTAAGTTTGACACCCTTTTTGATTAAAATGAATTGATTTCAATTTAGTTTCTGTGTGTAGGTTGATTAACTAGTTTTGGGGTTAATTGTGAAGCCTCTTGAAAATATAATCTTAATAACAATCAGTTAACAATCAACTTACAATCAAATCACATACACACCAAATAGGGTTTTAGTATATCAAGTCAATATGATTTTCCGGTTTTAATTATATAATTTATTAAATGATCAACACAACAATCAGTTGATTGGCCAGAAAAAAAGGACAAAGTTGAAAAATGTGACCAAATTGTAGTTTAATTAAGTTACAATTAACTGTGAAAATGTGAATATCAGATGTTAATTGTTGTTCTAGAAGCGAAACAATTTAAATTGTGTATTTAAAATATTGTTTATTCCCTGTTAATTGTTAGTGATTTAAGTGATTATTATTGTTTACAATCAAACTGTTCACCTGAAGGAAACAATTAAGTAACAATCAAGGTCTTAATCGTGATTAATTTAAACAACATGCCTTGTCTTGGTAATTGTTTAGGATCTTCATCATCTGAATCAGTTGATTTAAGGAAACAATCAACTCGCCATCGATTGTCAACAATTAACGAAAATAATGAAACCAATTTACCAAAAGCTGAAAGTTACAAAAAATTAAGAAACAGTTTCCTGGGAGCTGAAGTTAATCAACCAATTACGACAATTAAGGAGACTGATTTTTCACCACCAACAACAACAATCAATAAATTAACGGATAAAAAGAAAACAATTAAAAGTAAAAAATTGTCAACAATTAACAAGAATCATGAAACTCATCCAAAGATAATTTATCTTACAGATACTCGGGTGAGTTTTTAATTGTTGAGACAATTAGATCTTGATGATTAACTAATCATAATTCTCAATAAACATCTAATTGCAAGGAATGATTTGAAATCAACGGAGACAATCAACAAAAGACTTAATTGTTTCCACCCAATCATTAACTATTTTGATGAACCAATTAACCAGTTAACTAATCTATAAATCAAAAGTTCATAGAGACCATATTATTAATAATTAAGAGATTCAAATTAAATCTAATCTCCAAATGATTAACTAATTCATCAGATTTAGGTGTAACCACTTAAATATGTTTAAATCATCAACAATCAACAAATAAATTACCATCTCAATTGTAGGTGTGTCAATTTAATTAAATCTTAACTGTGTTTGTAATTAACATAACAATTAATCATTTTCATCGAGTCAAAATGAATTCAGTCCATTGATCAAATTAAGATTAAAGTTCCTAGAAATGGTAATCAAATCAAACAATTAGATATTGTCTTAAAAGGAAATTCATTCACAAATCAACCTACACCCATGTAAAAATAATTTAACTCACAATTAAGGTTGACAATTAAGAGAAATATTGATCTATGTAAACTTAATTAGTTTGCAATTGGTTCTAACAATTTATCTGAACGGTTGTATTGTCTTTCTAGATTGAAATGGGAATGAAAAATATTAGTTAACCTTTTGCTGGTCGAGTTGATTAAATATCAGATGTAAATTGATTTAATTTTGTTTAAATTGCTGACAGGAAGTTGAAGATGATTCAATTGTTGAGCCGATGGGGAATGGCAGGGAAATAATTAGCATGGAACCACTTGAACCGTTATTACCTCCAGCTCGTGGAGGAGCCGATGAACCAGGAAGCCGACGAAATTTTCCACCATCACAACCACCACCACCACCACCTCCTCCTCCACTGCCCACTGGTCATCATAATAATCCTGGTGACATGGAGACACCATTATTACCGCCACTTCCTCCTCCACCTCCATCATTTGGGTCAATGGATTTCAATTTATACGCCGCCAAGAAAAACATTTCCCAAGGTCTAATCGATATCGCCTTATTAACGGCTAACTTTTCACAGCTTAAATTTATCCTCTCAAAAGATCCTCGACTTGACCCCGACTGGACCAAAGGTGGACCCGAAGTTTTCAACGCGATCAACTTAATCCTAATCTGCTTCTCAATCGGCCTTCAAATCTTAGTTGGAATCGCTCTCCTCCTTTCCTCTCGCCTCAATCTTAACGATGACAACGGCCGCCGACGACGAGCCGAAACCTGCAACACTTTAATCATTGTCTGTGTTTTCATCATCACCGTAATCAATATATTCATCGTAATCTTCCTAGATGGACACGATGAGTTCGAACTCGTCTAAAATATCCATTCCTTTGAATCACCCAAACGCCTTAATCCAGATCCATTAGATTAAAATGGATCTACACAGTCGATTAATTTTCAATTACATTTTTTTCACTTTATTCAATTCAATTTATTCCAAACAATTTAATTTCTCCTTTTTTTTGTTGTTCAATTGTTGACAATTAACAATAAAAAAAACCGATTCCCTTGCCTTTTTCATGGGCCACAATCAAACAAAACCAATTCAATAATGATAATCATGATCATAAACGATTGAACAACAAAATATGATTTAATTTAATTGATTATTTGACTGAAAACTGATTTAAAACATCAGATTTGTTAACCTTATACAATTCAATGAGTACGATTAATATTATTATGATAATTCAATGGATTTAAACAGAATCGATATATGAAATAAAATTCTAATGAAAAAAGTTTTTTTTATTCTTCCATTTGTAATCGTTAATTGTTAATATCTATTCGATCTATTACAATTATTCTAGAACAATCAGCTAATTAGATCCGAGGAAAATTTTCCCTCGTGATGATCAGAATTGATCGTTATGAGTTTTCGCTTAGTCAATATCGAACTCTTATCAGTTCTAGAATGGAAAATTTCTTGCAATTAATTAATTAGAGAAAGAGAAATCTTTATAATCTGATCTTGACCGATTGGTTTCATTTTTTGCTGGTCAAGATTTAGATGATCTTTTAATTGTTATTAAAATAAAATTCTCGTTATTTAGTCAATTTTTTGAAATGGTGTTTTTATTGAAAAAATGAACATTTTTAATAATTTAAAGTTTATTGGTTTACAATGATTCAAATTATGATTAATTGATTAATAGATGTTGATATTTTTGTGCTGGGAGGTTAAATTGTGTCAACTCCAGTCCAGATAAACTGACCAGTAGACAATGTTTAGTAAAATAAAGGTTGAAGGGAAACCCCAACGAGAAACTTTATCAACAATTAATGCTCGGTCACGTTTTTTGACAAATACTGCTGACCTTAGGCTACCTTGACGGGTACTGGATCGGAACTGTAAGAAAACAAAGGTCAGAGATGATTAGATTTTCTGTCAATTAATTTTACTCTTTCATTTTGTTCATTAAGTCTCACCTTTGTTGCTGAATTATCATTGATTGCAGATGAGTTGTTGTTATTGTTACTATTTGAACCAGTATTGGCGATTGTTGTTGTTGTTGTTGTGGTCAATGGTGAGTTCGGAGTTGTTGGTGATCGTAGTGATGATTGGTGTGAATGATGATGACCGGTCAGCTGATGGTTATGATGATACTGATGGTAAATGTTGGTCGTTGGTCCTGTTGATGATGTTGTAGCTGCTGTTGGTCCAATTGTAAGGTTATTCAATTTTTCGTCTGCGGTCATCAATATGTTGACCAATGCATACTCCATAAGGGAAGCGAATACAAATATTGTACAATAGGACATGAAAATGTCGATCGCTTTAATATACGAAACGGGTGGGAGTGATTTCTGTGATTGAGCGTGCTGAGTGCTAAGAGTAAGTAACGAGGTGACACACAAAGTGACCCGTGCAGGCACTGCTTCCGGTTTAATCCAGAATGAAATCCAGGACATGATAACGATAAGGCAAGTGGGTATGTACGTGTGAAAGATGTAATAACCCAAGCGTCGTTTCAATGTAAAAACAACTTCGACACAGGTAAAGTTACCTGTTGACGAAAAAAAAACAACACCAACAGTTGAGAAACACAATTTCATTTCTCATCTCAACTTACCTGATGAATACATTTGACTACAATCAGCTAACTTGTAATCAACTAACTCATGTTGAGGTAATTCAATCGCAGGTTCAACTACCAAAGGTGAATCAGTTTCCCAATCAAATATTAAATCATCAGTTGTATATGAAACTTTAACATTAAAAGATGGAAATAGTTAATTGTTCAAACTTAGTTGTGACCTTTAATTACTTACGGCTTTCAATTTTGAGCTCACATGTTTGAGTATCATGGGGATAAGATTGAAACTTCATGGCACAGGAAAGTAAAAGTGTTAACCTGTTCAGGGAAAAAATTGTAAAGGTAAATTTTTCTCTTCGAAATTTCAACAAAAAATGTCAACTTTGTTTTCTATTTTTCAATGGAGTAAACATTTCATTTTCCCTTTTTCTTTTTATCATCTCTCTTTTTTATATTAAGTGACCATTAAAGTAGAAAATGCCCTTTGGCTATTGAGAAAATTTCTTTTTCATAATGACCCTTGTGAAGAAAAATTATTAAGTTTGTCAATGGCTTATGGTCAGTGGTCATTGTCACTTGACTGTGAATGGTTTTGCTATGGACAGAGTATCGGTCAAGTCTTTTGCTATTACAGGTCAACGATTTAAACTATTAATTACCTTTGAAATTGTGATTGTTAAAGCAAATCATTGAACTTTAAAGTTGGATTGTTATTCCAAAACAGCAAATTCTATGGTAACAATTAACTTAATTATCACACAAGAGTATTAACTTATTGAGATTATTTACCTGGAAATTCATGTATTTAATTTAGTTCTAATCAATGAATTCAGCTTACAATAATTAACGATTCAATTAGGAGCTAAATGAATTAGTGATAACTCAATTCTGAGCGATAATGATCTGGAAAAATTAGTTGCAACATTGTTACAATCAAAGAACCGTTGAAGTAGAAACAGTTATAATTGTCAACCTTCACCATCAGAATAATCTGATTTCATTAACTGAGATAATGAAAAATTTCATGAGAATTGGAATCAATTGAACTACAAGTTTTCCAAGACAAGTAAACCATTGATTTCTCAATATATTCAAATAAGATTGAATGAGATCTGGAAATTTATTCCAATTGAAAACAAAAGAAATAAAAAAACCACCATGATCAGGATTCAGCTCTTTGGAGATAATTCAACCTGTCAGAATATCAGAATTAAATGGAAAAGAAAGAAAAAGAAAGCTTCTCTCAATTGAAATTCATTTTACTATTTCTTTTCCATGGTTGATTAGTTATCCATTCCAAGCCTAAGGTTAACAATCACGAGGAATGATTTTTGAAATGTTCAGCTCATTGAGAGATAATTCCAGGTGAATTAAGAAGCTACTATAAAGTATTGAAATTCATTCATAAACTCAATGATTAATCTTATGACATGATAATCATGATAGATTGTTATTGTTCTGATCCATTGAGTGTATTTACATTGTACATATATCAATGGATGTTTTTTAGCTCCATACCTGTTATTTTATCATTATCTTCATGAAAATGAACTTTGAAAATTCAATCAACCTCAAAGATGAGCAAAAAAGTCTCAAGATGTATTGATTTATCATCTATTTGTTACAAAATGGCCACTCTGATACTTGATCGTTCATTGATAATAACTTTTCTGTTTCATCATAATGTAACTTAATCACAATCTTCATCTGTTTAATTGAAGTTTTCATGTTGATCCCTGAGTTTCAGTTGAGCTTTCACCCATTCAGCACTTAATATACCATTTTCAGCACTGGTAAAACATTACTGGGAGTTATGTTTATGCTAAAATAATTGATTAATTTTCTGTAAAATGAATCTTGTCCTTTTCTGTTTACAAAAACATGAACTACTCGCAGCAACTTCTCAGATTTCAATGAATCGTCACAATTGATGATCATGAAAACTGACACATGAAACTTTGAATACAATGAATATTAAATTCTGTTCAAATGGTTTAAAATCCACTGAGTGATTTTCAAATCTAAATTTTGATCCAATTTCAATCATTCATTTTAAATGCTGGTAAAGTATCAGTACAATAGTACTTAAGTTCATACTCGTTTCAATCTCTAACATTAATAAGAATGTGATATTTCATCATGTTTCACCCCATTTTGATGATAAGTTCATGATGAACATGAAATATTATACCCATTCAGATATATTAATAAGTATATTCTGACTTTTTTTACACTTGGGATGTTGATTGAAGTTACAGTTCAAGAGTCAACACAGTAAATGATTACCTGTCTAGTTGTTACCTTAACCATTACCTTTTTCACTTAGTCAATTTATAATAATTAGTAAGAAACACCATGAGAATCTATTGAGATTATAATTAGATATCATGATAAATAATCAATCACAATCAAAGGTCATCAAAGTAATTTACAACTTAACAAACTATTAATAATTTATCGTCCTGAGAGACTGGACATTGAAAGATACTCAATTATAATGATAATCAAAATGAATCAACTTGTCTAGCTGATTGTTGGACATTATAAAAATGGTTATCAACAATTTAAATGATATAAGATGTGACAGAATCTATTATAACAGTCAATCAATTAAATTAATCATTCTCTTTGATTAGATTATCTCTTATCAAAAAATATTTACGATTATCAATCATATGATTGTGATTAATGTATACGGAATTGATTGTTAATTACAGTTACTATTTTCCCTAGACAATTTAATGTAACGAAAGGGATTTGTTATATTATCTTCAACGATAATGATAACTTCCTAATGAAAAAAGTTCTGATTGAATTCATGGATTGTATTTCATTTGATACATTTGAATATATTATGAATACAATGTAAACAAGACAAAAATAACAGCTCTTATTTTGGACTTTTTTTTAATAATAATCAACAATCAAGAGCAAGAATTGAATGTTTCAAGTGGATAGAGATGAATATAAACTAATGAAATTAAGTCGAGTGAAAATTTGTCTTCATTTAACTTGCTAATTAACACTCTCAAGTGGATTAGTTCACTTGATTAATTAGGATGCTGATCAACATTTTCATCACCTTCAACTGGAAATGAATATTATGTTCACCTTGAGAACAGGGTGAATTTTTTTTCTCTCACCTTAGAGATTCCAAAATGAAAAATCAGTAAGATTATCATCAAGAGTGTTGATTGTTAATCAACATTTTAAATATAATTTACATTTTATATTTGCAAATCTAATTGATTATTGTTGCATTTCAATATGATTGTAAATAGATTCGGAAAGTAGTCTGCTAATGTTATTGAAAGTTATCATGAAATTTTGCTTTAAATTTGAATAAATTTACGACATTAATGTGAGATTCATTGTAGACTTTGAGCATTTACGTGAATTTAATAACTCGAAAGTGACGTAATTCGTTGTATACTAAATACTTTCCTATTTGTGAACGGAAGTTCAGGTGAAATAATTCACCCTGACATCCGGTTGATTGAAAACTCTCTAACATCGTGATCCCTTTAAAAAACAAAAGATTGTATGAATTTTCCTGTAATTTCTCAGGTAATATCGATTCTACAAAATTCGTGAGCATGATGTTGTTTTCTCTTTGAATAGGAAACTTGATCGCCAGTTCCATTGTACATCAATGGATTTGTATCTAATCTTTAACTAAATTTCCGGGTTATCACCTTTAAACTATTGTTCTCATCACAATTTACCATGATCGGAATCAAAATTGAGTAAACAATCGTAGATTTAAGGTCAATGTCAAGAATTATATGTAAATTGAATCGTTGAATTGGATTAATTGAATTCATGACTGAGGGCGGTTGAAAGTTTTTTACACTTCAGACTTGATTATTTCCCATCATGATTGGTCTGAATTTTATTCCTCATGTTTTTTTCTTGGTGAAAACTCATTGATAAACAAATATACTTGAAAAATACTCACAATAAGAACCATTTTCAGTTGCACAATTCAAAGACGAACCATTTAGAGGAGGAAAGTGGAAATAGAAAAGAGAAATTGTTATGATATATCATCTCAAGAGTATATTAGTTATACAAGATTTTACTTTTCACTGTTACTCCTTAAATCCAATTCTTATGTTACCATGAACTCTCATGAAATGCTGGTCTTAATTAAAAAAAAACTTCTCAACTTTGAAACGATAACATTATGAGAAATTCTTGTTTTTATAATAGTAACAATTTTAATTATTCATAGACGAAAAGAAGACAATTCCATCTTAATCTTTGGCTCGAAATGTTAGTGCAAAAGAATTACTTTCGAACTCACCTTGTAAACTTCCTGGAATCGAATTTTTTTTTCATCAATTTGAATTTAAATGAAACAATTAACATCTTAGTATATTCATGAACTTAAGGGCGACAAATAGTTTAACGAATTATCTATTTAAAGATCATGGAAATTGTGGAAAATAAGTTTTTCTATTTCAATTATTTTCCATTCTAAATCTATCAGATGAAAGCTTAATCTTTACTATTCTCATAATCAAAGTTCATCCTTTGGGGATTAAACTCCAATTCAATTACTGAGAGTTTATGAATGAATTATTTATTCACTCGATATTCATTTCTTGTTTATTTACCGTAATTACCTGAAATAATAAAAATTGAGAAAATGTCTTTATAAAACTAACATTATAACATTATTATACTTTTATTATAGTAAATCAAATGTTAACAGTCACAAATTAATATAATATTTTTGTTTTCATCTATTCATCTGATGACAATTAGTTAATTGTGAATAACAAAATTACCTTAAGATGAGACAACAGGTTGAAGATGTTAAAGTTAATGTTAAATTGAACAAATTGTAATCATATGTTGAGGATTTGTTGTTATTGTTGCAATTGATTAAAAAGTAGATGATTAAATCTAATGATGATCAACAATCAGTAGCTGATTGATATTAGAAACTAAATAGTAAATCAAGTATCAAATGTTAACAGTTGAATGATAAACAAAAGACTCAATGTTACCTAAAAACGATTGAGTTTATATATTGGAATCGAAGTTGAAAAAACCGTTACTTGGACCTAAAGATGAGAGGAGGAGGAAGACGAAAGTAGATGATGACGGTGATGATGAGAAGGAGGGGATGATGATGATGATGATGGAAGAAAACAGGCCAGAATATTTTCTTCAGTCTTTCTTTTTTTCATCTTCAACTTTTGAGTGAGAATTTAGATTCAGGTTGTTACGTGTTAAAGGTTATGACTTTTTTTCTCTTTCTTTTCTCTTGATAACATTTCATCTCGATCATGTAAACGATTTCGAATTTG